TGTTTAAGAAGGATGATAAAATTCACTTTGTGTATCAGGACCAAATCATGCAGGAAGTAGTGACTTCTTGAGTCTTCTTGTGTGGTAGTGTTGTTTTTTAATTAAAAAGCAGGTTTTTTAGCAGCGTACAATAGCATGAGTTTTCGAGGGATGTTGGTTATTGTATTTATTTTGCACACTGTCAAGGCGGAATACATGTCATGTCCCGTTTTGGTATGATAGCAATCCTGTGTGGTGAGTTGAGAGAGAAATGCAAGCCAAAAGTGAGCCCTGTGGCTGAGTTGGGATTTGAACCTGATTCCCTTGAGGTATAATTAGCACTCTTCCTACTACATTTGGTTGTCCCTGCTTACAGTTTTCTCTCCTGTCATTTATTTGCTAAGAATGTCACTGGGAAAAGGTACAGGATTTTACCTCCAGCACGGAGAATATAGCTTTTAATATGCAAATTTCAAAACTTCTGAATCCAGGATGCAACATTTAAAGTATGCCTGGGAAACCTGTCACCCAACAGATGTTACTGGATCACGGTTCCCATCATCCTTAACAACTGTCCATTTTGTTTGAACTGATGGGAGTCAGTCCAACAATGTCTTAATGTCCTATGTTAGACTGAAGAAGGCATTGCCTTCTATGTGTCAGAGTTCTATGTGTCTCTTCCCTTGTGTTCTTAAAAGAAAAAAAAAGGAAGGAGATGTAGCTTCAGGAGGTTTGAAAACAAAAGCAGAAAAGAGGCGCTTCCCCCCCCTTGCTTTTTTGTTCACATTTTCAGCTTACTGTGGCTACTTTTCATTTGTAGAGTAACCAATGGGAAAACCATGGAAAGAAAGAAAAAACTGTGCATAATTATTAGCTGTTTTTTTAAAAAAATACAAAGACTTATAAATGCTTACGTGCTTCTTGCTCAGCTTACTGTGGCTACTTTTCATTTGTAGAGTAACCAATGGGAAAACCATGGAAAGAAAGAAAAAACTGTGCATAATTATTAGCTGTTTTTTTTTAAAAAAATACAAAGGCTTATAAATGCTTACGTGCTTCTTGCTTAAAAGAGAATTTTTAAATTCTGAAGGAAATTTTGCATTTTGTACTCAAAAGCCATGTTCTGTAGTTTGTACCTTGACTTAATTCCCTGAGTGAAGATTTCTGATAATAAGTTCATATAATAAATAAGAACCATGTATAACCATCATTAGCTATGATGAAATAAGCATTGAAGAACAGCTGTTGCCTTCTCCCAGCCATCAAATCTGAATGGTTGGAAAAATGACTCCACTGAGATTAGACAGAGTAGCATTTGCTTAAGCCAGTATGGGGGATCACAGCAAATTTATAGCAGGTCAGCTTGGCAAATGGTGTCCATGCCTACACCTGTACTATTTAGCACAGTAATACGTACTGCTTGAGCTAGCCAATCTAAAAATAGGCACACATTTCTATGACCAAATGAAATAGTTTGCAACTATTATAAATACATTTCCTAGATATAATGCAGCAGTGTGTGTGTGTGTTGTCTGTATGAAGCCTGTGTGTATAGTACTTATAATTCTGAGTTTAAATGATATATCACAATTTTATTTAATCACAGCTTATATGAATCGCCTCTTGAAGAGGCATTTTGTGTTGTGCTATCATTCAAACTGTTGTAAACTGCCCACTGCCCAGAGACCTTTGGGTAGTGTGGGCGGCATATTAGATAGATAGATAGATAGATAGATAGATAGATAGATAGATAGATAGATAGATAGATAGATAGATAGATAGATAGATAGATAGATAGATAGATAGATAGATAGATAGATAGATAGATAGATAAAAGCAGCAATATGTGTCATCTTTGCTTCCCAATCAAAGATTTCCAAATCAGGAAGAATGCTAATTTGGAAATCTTCCTTCCTTGCCACACCATCTGATTACCAAAAAATCAGAATGGCTAGATTGTATTACTAGATTGTATTACTTGAAATATGGAAAATATGAAAATATCTGGAAAAAGTAGAAAGCAAGAATGAAAAGACAGGATCTAGAAGGATGAAATGCAGCAGAGTTAAGTCAGGGAATTAGACTGTTTGATGTACTTTATGATGTGTTGATTTTGAAGTCCACCTTAAATATTACAGAGCTTGGCAAAGAGCATTTAACTATGATAATAACTTATACATTAATGTAGTGTTTCAGAGTTCCATACCACATGTATCAGTCTAATCTGCATGCCTGTTCTGCTAGAAACAGAAGTGCTATATGTTGGCAGGGTGTGTATGGAGGTTAGAAATATAATGCCCACTCAACGCAGTTGGCAGGGTATGTATGGAGGTTAGAAATATAATGCCCACTCAGGAACATTGCAAGGGAAAAGGATTTGCATCCATACAAGGCCTATTAAATAGGCACTGGATAGCAAGAAGAATACACGTGGACATTTCTGGCCCAAACTGCCATCAAAATGTCTTTATCCCATCTAACTCTGGTAGTTTAGCAGTGATAAACCGACTTCTTTGAGTCTGTATCTATATAGTTAAACCTCTGCTTATCTACGTTCCTAAAATAGTTGAAAAAGCAAACGAATCTGTTCAGGGCAAATTAAGTGTACAGTGTTCAAAAGAGATTTTCACCAAGGTAAAGAACAGCAAAGTTGCCTGCACAAGTCACCAGATGTAAGAGATAGCTGGCTGGAACGTTCAAGCTCTTAAGCAAGGAAGGCTTTGTCCAATACTGTTGGAGCTAGTTGAAAGTCGATTGCATTATAAGATATGGGTTAGGGTTTAAAGAATTAGTCCATGGATGGTATCCAGGGTAATTTGGTGCAAGCAGCTGTGCAACATAGATTGCATGCTTGCAAGGTTGCTTCTGCTACTGCAGTGCTGCAATCTATCATAACAATGCAAACAGGGATTTTTCAGGCTAATAGCATGATGTTGGACTTAGGCTGATATCTCCAGGAACTGAGGAGGCAGCACACCAGATAGGAATCCTAGATGCCCTCCATAGCCTTGTTGCTGTTAAAAGTGCACATAAATTAATTTGGAACAATTCCATCAAAGCAGAAGGAAATGATTCAACAGTAAGTAATTTCAGGAGTGTTGCCATTTCCCCCTCCTTTGAGTTCGGGAACTTCAGCACAATCTTGGGTTTCACAGCAATATTTCATTCTGATTTAAGATGGAGGCAGATAATAGTTTTATCTCTTCAATTTTCCTTGTTTAATTGTTCTTAATGACTGTTATTAGATTCATCTGTTTGGTAAATAATGAGTCCAAAAGATGAGCTACATTTTTCATCCTTTTAAAATAGTTTATTGCAGGCAATAACCTTTTATCTTACATTTTGCAGTGGTGTGTACTTCCTGCTTATTTAAATTTGACTAAGGTTGCTAAAACTATAATAAAAATTGTACGGGAAACTACAAGAGGGTTCAGTTCTGATCAGGTACTAACATTTCCTTTGTACTGCTTTCACCTCTTAATGTCACTAGCTTGTTGAAACTGCAGACAAATCTGAAGTCAAAAGGGGTACACTGTACACTGGCCTTATGCTACATTTTGCTTAGGCTATAACACTTAACTGTGGGAAAACAAAGCACAGTAAGCTTATGAAATGTGCTTTTCCTCTTGCTCTTCACAAGGAGTTCCACAACAAAGCTTTTGCTTCCACTGTACTGCAGTTTGCCATGTTGTCTAGTGTGATGAACTGAGTTTAATCTTAATTGTTAATATAAACAAGCCAACTTAAAACTATGAAGTTAATTATGGTTAAGAGTTCAGTTGTACTAGCAAATTACAATCAGTTTGAAATGAAGCCGAAGCTTTCAGTGCATGGCATTGTAGCATAGGAAATTGGAAAAGGACTGCATCACTGTGGCTTATTTTCTTCATGCTAATGTATGACTTGCTGTGACATCCAAACATGACTGTGGCGAGCAATAATCCATCTTTCAAGCCACTTCCCATTCCCTGAAATTTTGTGTCTCACACATGTAGACTATAGTCTGGTTTGAGAGATTAACATCAGCATTCTATGTACATGTCTTAAGAAGCAAGTCTCTAAAGTTAGTGCAAGACTAAAGCGAAGGTTTGTGTTACCAGCACATGCTTATTTGGTAACAATGGGATTGATTTCTGAGTAACCATCTGTAGCAGAGATGGGTAATATTGTATGTGGCCCCTAGGGGCGCAAATATCATTCCCATGTACTCTCATACAAATATATACATATATATTTGACCTGTAAGAACTTTGTGGGGTGGAGGTTGTAGGATTGGGTGTGACTCCAAACATCTGAGGATTACCTACTCCAGTTTTACTGGAATATATTTCTAATGACCATATACTAAACCTGGAATTAATTTATTCGCGAAGGCTTTCACGGCCGGGATCTAATGGTCGTTGTGGGTTTTTCGGGCTCTTTGGCCGTGTTCTGAAGGTTGTTCTTCCTAATGTTTCACCACTCTCTGTGGCCGGCATCTTCAGAGGACAGCACTCAGTACTCTGACTCCTGTCCTCTGAAGATGCTGGCCACATAGACTGGCAAAACGTTAGGAAGAACAACCTTTAGAACACAGCCAAAGAGCCCGAAAAACCCACAACAACCACTGGAATTAATTGTTGAACTTCTTAGAAAAAATCTCAGCTACAGTCCAGGCCAGATTTGGGTTCAGATGATTCACTGAAACAATGTTTTGAAAATGTGTTAAATATAGCCAGTCAACCTCCCCTTTTTTTCTTCCTTTTCAACACAGGCATCCAACATCAAGACAAAACTAAGGAGGCGGCATGGTTCTGACCTACCTATGACTCCAGTGTTAAGACCTCTCACTCTTGTGAAGGGGATCCCCTGCTTCTTCACAATGGCACCACACATTGGGCCTTTGTCTCTGGAAGGCCATTTCTAAATCACAAGATACTGAAAGAGAGAGAGAGAGAAAGAGCGAAGGGAAGCCAGACACTTTCTACTGCATATGTTTGTCATCTGAGCCTTCTGCAGCATTTCTGCAAGCTAACTTTAACAGTGTTTTGCTTGGTTGTGTGTTGTCTGTACTAATGCACAGCCTTAAATATCAGGAGAGACATAGCCTTAAGTTGTAGGCATTTTTCAGGAATACAGTTTTTGTAGCTCTTTTGTGCATCTATTTTTTGTAGAAATACAGAAAGTCTGCATAAGCATTGATGGGCTATTTTAGAAAAAAGTATTTTTTAAAATTTAAAGTTTAAAAATGTTTATGTTCTGTTTAAAGAACTTGCTAGCAGAGACGCACTGGTAAAATGTTGAAATGCGTGGTTTTCAGATGTCTAATGTGCTTGTATGAGGTTTTGCTGTTCTCTGAAGTAGCTTGTCATGATCAGATGCTTCAGTCCTTCATGTAACAGTCCCACAAGATCTTGAATGTACTTTGCCTTTCGCTTAAGTAAGCATTTAAATATAAAATATTTTCCATGGCAGTGTTGTATCAATGAAAAATGATTATTTGTTTTGTTGTTTTTGAGAACAGCTTTGAGCTGGGCAGCTGATGATAAAATGTGTGTTGAAACAACAAGGTTTCATTCCCTATTTCCAGCTGAAATTGTAAGTGCAACATCATCTTGAGCCTTTAAATTGACTTCAGTAGCTGAAGTGCACACTGCCTTACTTTATTCTTTATACCACTACAGCTTTTATAACCCCCCTACAACATCTTATTTGAACTACAGAGAGGAACTTCAGCTGTATCCAAGTGTCTGTGCATTTATAGTCAGAGCTTGAAAATGGACATGCTGGCTGGAAGATTCAGAGAGTTGTAGTTCAAGAAAATAAATATTCCAAGCTCTGAAGAGAAGACTCCCATTCTGGATCACAAACTGTTTTGGAAGGTCCCTTCTCACCCAGTTTTTCTGACTCAGAAAAACACACAGTGTTAACTTATGGTGTTTGTATAATATAGTAAAAAGAACTATAGATTCTCAGAGAAAGCAGCATCCTTTGGTAAGTGCAAGCATGAACACATGACTGATACGCTTCTGCCAAACTACTAATTCTGGGAATATGATCTGTGCATTGCTAAGTCCTGTTACAATGTAGTTCTATAGATGTCTGTTTAGAAGACCTTTACATAGACTGAATACAGACTGCAGACTCCATCCTGTCCTGTGAACTGCTATGTTAGTAGCTTATACTAACAAGATATTAATTGCAGATCAGTTGGGGCTAACAAAAATATATCAAGGACAGTAATCAGGACAGTAATCACGTAGCTCAATACACAGTATTCCTGGTTTAAGAAATACATTTCTAAGTGGACCATTAATACACTTGAAAAAAGTGCAATGCAAATCAGCAGTTGGAGAGTATTTTTCAGATGTCCATAGGAATGGTGCCTGCATTCTGCATCAGGCCTTCTTTTTGTGGAAACTTTGTATATTCTAAAAAAAAGATCAGTACTATTAAATACTGGAATAAAGCTACTCATTTTCTGTAATCAGTTTTCATCTTATAGTTAATTGAACACCTTCTCTCTCATTTCCCTGTACAATGATTTGAGAAAGTATGTGGCAAAACTAGATTAATTTGCAGGCCCTTAATTTGACATGACATTTAGAGCATTGCTGAAATGGACTCCATTCGTAAATTCTTCATCAATTTCAGGTCTAAAGTTGGGTCTGTAACATATTGATAGCCTCCATTGATTCTTACACATTAGAAGGAGTATATCTAAGTTTAAGGTTGGATTCTGTCTCTCTGATTCTAAATTTATCAGACCACATACATTGTGTCCTTTTCTGCAGATAGAATAAACATAATCTATGCTTCATTTTTGCTTTGGCCAACATGTTAAGCAGCATCCTATTCAGGTGTGATACAAGTCCCAAATCCAGTTGCCAGCCAGAAATCGATTAGAGCAATTAAATCAAATGTTGAAGGTCTTTTCTATCTATCTATCTGTCTGGCCGTCTATCCATCCATCCATCCATCCATCCATCCACAAACACACGAGAATCTGGCTGATTCAATGGGTCTTCTCTAGTTAGAATGAGTGATTGGATTTAAGCGAAGGCATCTTTTTACTTGCATCATAGGACAGAACTGGGCTGTTTTGATATGTTCCTATGTCAGCACACAGGCACGAGTGGAAGACATTTCCTCCTGATAAACACTGCTGTTGCATCAACAGCTCACAACTCAGGGACATGATAAGAAAGTATTCTGCTTTGCACACATTAGCGGCTTGATACCCAGTCACAAGGTGCACTGCCACACTGGTGTGTGTCAAAAGCAGTTTCTTTAGGGTGACAGTAAAACTACAAGTGATTTGTCTGTCTGATAGTTTTGTGCCTCTCAAGCATATCAGTTGTCTCTTGGGAAAACTTTTGGTAGATATGTACGTGTCTTTTCATTCAGATACCTATCCAACGTTGTCTGAATGGACTCAATTCTGCAATGGCTCTTTTCCTTCCTGTTCATACACTTGCAGTTCCTGAAGCAACCTTTGCTGCAGACAAACACCTAATCCTTAATAGTAAATTTGAAATGCTTATCAGGGAGCTGCAGAGAAGGGGTGGGAAACATGTAGGCATCAGATATTGTTGAACTACAATTCCCATCATCCCTATGACTAATACAATGACTAGGGTTGATGAGAGTCTCAGCCCAAAAACATCTGGCAGGCCATTTATCTTCTACTTTTCCACATGTGGATCTCATTCTGCTGGCAAGAATATACAGCTAGCTATAACCTTTCATTACTTATCAGACAAAGCACGGCTTAGAGAACATTGGAAATCAGCTTTTCTGGGAGTGTACTAGAAATGCCTGGTTTTAATTTGCAGGAAATGTTAAAATACTGGCTTTGTGTGGGTCTGGGAAGAGACTCAATGAAACATCACTAGAAAATCCACCACCAGTACTAGTCTACTATTTAAAAAAAAAAAAACTCCATATAGCTGTGCTCATCTTTTATCACATTGCATCAAGAAACATCTGTTAGATTACCATTTTATTTCCAATTGTATGTAAAGGTTACAACAGAGACTACATAAGATATGTGTAGAGTTCATATTCTAATTTATTAAAGAATGAGATTGGCTTTGGATTGAGATGGACAAAGTTACATATTGGACTACAATTGCCATGATAGGTGAATTCTGTAGTTCCAACAGTAGCTTTTCAAAGATCATTTCCAGACCTTATTCTTGATTGCATCAATACTGGAATCCACTGGAATACTGTATGTTAAGGGGACAAATGACTGTTCAAACTATGTATACAATAGTTGAGAAAGTACAACAGGCTGTTTTAAATTAAGCAATAATAGGTTCATAGCACTGTCGTGAGAAGAAACCAAATACTCCTTCCAAGAATGTTAGTGATATGTCCTGACTAAGAGGTTTGGAAATATGTAACAGAAGGTTTTCCTACAGTTTAGAAACATTTTTAACAAAACAAAACACATTTTAACTTTCAAACATATTCCCAAATTCTAAAATACTTAGAATTTGAAAATAAATACAGCATGTCAGTAATTCCAACAGATACCAAGCACAGTAAAGTCCCTATAAATAGATAAAAGATTTGTAAACATGAGTATGGGACAGACTTCTTAGGCACTGAGAATGTAACTTTACTAAATATAAAGTTAAGCATGCTTTGGTGGAGACACATATTTTTTAAGTCAAACAGGGATAGCAATTTGGAAAAGACAGTAAAAGGGCAGAGTACTCGTTAAGAGTATCCATTAGTTGGTGTACTAGTTCGTCTGCACAGAAATTTTGTACAAGGAAATTCTGGTGAGTGAAATCATTCTAGATAAGCTGCTTATTTATTTTTATTTATTTCAAATATTTGTACCCCACTTTTCTGCTTAAAAGTACCCAAGATGTTCTGGAGTTGGAATCCTCCCCCCCCCTCTCCAAACTCTGTGCTAAACATACCCTAATTCTTCAACCTTTCTTCAGAAGATTTAATCTTCATATCCTCAACCATCTCCATTGCCTTCTTCCAATTTGCTAATATGAAGTATGCCAATTATATGTTTATTTTTCACTACATAAATATAAAACCAGACTTCATGGAAAGCCTATGAAAAAACATCCTTTAAGACTATGCTTCAACTAGAAAAACTAAAAATAAGATATTGAATAAAATATCCAGGAAGAAATTGATCACATACCAAATAGAATGGGCTGAAAACTATGGGTAACTAGAATGCAAATGTGGGAAATAAAGCAAATTTAACATCACCAGAGAATTTGGCTTAGGAGTTAGAAACAAAGCAAGAGAGTGACTCAGAATTTGTGAAGCTAACAATTTGTTATTGCAAATAAATGCTTCAGACAACCGAACAGAGTAATTGTATATGTGGACATTATTAGCTGGCAGTACAGAAATTAAGTAGACTATATAACGGTGCAGAAAATAAAGATGCCGTATTTTCCACATAAACAAGACCACAAGCAGATTGTGATAAGAGCATGAACTGTTAATATCAGAAACTAGAATAAAGCTGAAGAAGGATAAAATAATCCATGTGACAAAATGTAATTTGGATAACATTCATGAAGAATTAAAAGACCATGTAAAAGAGATCATTTGTATTACTGAACACAACTGAACATGAACAGAACCACAGATTGAAACCAGAGATATTATTAGCAGGCAGAATGCAAAGAGACTACTCCAGCCAAAAGAAAGGAAAAGCTTTAAAGGCTGACTGATGAAATGCTTAACATTGTGAACACTGTTAACAAGAAAATAGAAGCAAAACTAGAAGATGACAAAAATGAGGTCATGATTCAAGTGCAATTTTTCAATGCCTTGAAAGCCAATAATCAAATAAGAACAAAAAGGAGAGGGAAAACAAGATAGTCACTTCCATTACGTCCAAGAAATCAAA